ACCATCACCAAGATTTACATATTTAAAGGATATGCAAAGTAAACTAGACAGTAATCCTTATTCTGTATTTAAAATACTTAATCCTACCTTATAATAGTACTGAAGGGGTCATCTGAGGCTGAAGAAAAATGTTTCAGCAGTGTTCCTTTGCATTTTCAACAGCTACATGTTCTGCTCTGGCAGTGAGTTATCTATGATGATTGAAAGTCATCTCCCACTGGGAGAATGACTCCCATCTCCCATTTGGTAACCTCTTCCAAAAAGAGGTTTTTATTAGGTATACTTTTTAAAAATTATATTTTTCACCTGTATAATTTTTATTCCTGCCAGTCAATTTAAAGATATTGAGGACAGAAAGAGAAATGCACAATTTGTTATCAGAAAATAAATTAAAACACATTTAATGTTCACAAAGCAACACAAAATAAAACAACTACCACAAGAACAAATAACATTTTGGAGGACTTCATTATTCAATGAAGTATCATTACTGCAAAATTATCACACTAACCTAACTGAACTCCAGTTTTTTAAATGTAGCATTAACCACTTCATAAACACCTAATATATGGCAACAAAACAGGTGCTGGCATCAACATGAATAATTTGGTTAACAAAATGAAAATATCAGCAACCTAAACTCTTTCAGGAAAAATAAAAATCAATTTCACAAGCTAAGTCCTAAAGATAAGAATCTTTGCAAATTCTAACAGTTACAAATGAAATCTGAAACTCAAAAGACCATGGATGCAGAAACTCTCCTTATTTTTCTCCAAGACTTGTCTAATGTGTGGTTTGGAGACCCTCTGTACTTGTCCAGTTGGGCAGCAGGAGGGATGTGCCTGCTGTGTAGAGGCAGGTGACAGATGCAGAAGCAAGGGAAGAGTCTCTGGTGCCCAGCTGCTTGTGAGGGAAGTAGCACAGCAGCAGGGAGGGGAGGTGCACTGAGCTGAGCATCACAATGGATGCAAGGGAAGCACAGGGCTGGGCAGCAAATGAGAAGGGAGGGCAGGAGAGCACCTTACAGTGCCACATCCTGCAGCAAAGAAAGAGAGCACTGGGACCCTCAGGAGACACTTCCAGGAAATAAATGCTCTCTGTCTGCATCTTTTTGGGCCCTCTTTCCGAAGGTGAGGTCATTAAGTAGAGGCTAGAGACAGTGATTTCCAGGTTCATGAGATACACTGCATGCAAGAAATCATATGCTGGGCACCACCTCTATTTCTTCCACAAGCCCTAAGGAATGTATCATTGGACTTCTCTTATCTGATAAAATGATTTATTGGACATAGCTAAGGACTGTGGTGGAATTCTATTCATTCAGATCCACATACTCCCCTCTTCTAAAAATCTGTAGTCAGGCAGAAGACTATTACAAGTTTTTGACATAAATCTGTTTGGGAAATGAGAAATGACCAAACATAGATTTATAAAAACAGACAGGAGAGGTGTGGCTCTTATTCCACATAACATAAATACCTCATTGGGCATCAGCAGCTTTCCTAATTATAAACAGCTCAAAAAAGGTAACCTTCGTACAATAATTAGGCTCATCTCCTACTGTAAAATTGCCAAGAACACATTCATCAGACATGTCAACAAATTAATGAAAAAAGGAAAAGCATAGCATTTGACTATCACATTTATAGTACTATATATTTCAGTAGTGGTGTAATTCTTTATTCTCTATTAAATACTACCTCAAAAGTATATCAAATGGATATTAAAGACTGCTTATTATGTTGTTAAGCAGATCCACAGAATGCTTTAACAATTGTATATAATTAAAGTTAAAAAATCCAGATTAAGACTTCCCAGAGAAGCAACAATTTGTCTTAATTTTAAAAAATAAAAACAAAACAAAAATAAACAAACAAAACAACAACAACAAACCAACAAACCCCCCCCCCCCAAAACCCCACACCAGCCTCCCCTGAAAAACCCACACCACTGTTAATTACTATTGTGGCTATTGTTTTACATCCCTAGTACTGCCATACCGATGTTTTTCCCAGTGATCAAGGAGATCAAAGAAATCTGATGTCTCACAAGGGGTTTGAACTACAGCAAAGAGAATTCCTCTTAATTCCTTGTCAGTTTTTGAACACAGTCCAAATCAGATGAACAACATCTTGCTGTTCTCAATGAGGCTTGTGTGCAATGGGACTGATGTCTCAGGAAATTCAAAATAAAGAACTTTTTGCCTTGTATATGAGTTTGTCTCATGCCCAGCTCTGTAATGAATCTCCCAATTGTTCTGCAGACTTTCATGGTTTATTTTTCAGTCTCATCTCTTTTCTTAGCAACATAGCTCCAACCCACAACTATCACTTTGTGCCATAGCAAGCAATATCAGTAGAGACCATGGAATAAGCATAGACATTGAAATGTCCTTCCTGAAATGAACTTTATATGTCATATCCCCATCCATACAGGGCACTTGATGCTTGTTTCCACACTCTAGTCCAGCACTGTTGTAAAAAAATGTGGGGTTTAAATTGATTTAATTGATGCCAAACTGCCAGTACACCAACTGATAGCAATCCACAGTGGTAAACATCCAGGGAACTACTTTGGTGTGCTTCTCATCTTGCTGTTAACATGTTGTAGAGCTGTTATATAGATTGCATGCAATTCTTGGAAGGTGTTTTTTCTGCCATCCAAAAATTCTGAGACTGTAGCAGATCATTCCAGATTCCCATCAGAGCGTAATCCTCCCACTCTGCTCACAGTACAGCCCCCAAATGGTTGCTTCACATGCATATCTGCTCAATGAATGCACATGAAAGTAGTCAAGTTCATCTTCTTTCCCTTAGATTTTCAAAAGCACACCACAAAATTGGTATTTTCCCTAACATAAACATCTGATCAACTTATTTTTCTACAGATAAAATGCAAGAAGATGGAAAAGGAACAAGTAAAAGTGTAGACTGGAACACACAGACTCATACTGGTCTACAGTCATATGGAGATTGCAGAAACTCCAGAAACAACTGCAAAACCCTCCCTAGTGCAATTTACGATATGAGAGTATTGAGAGCAACCTGGTAGCAAACCCTGGGTTTGAATGGATGCAGACAATGAGCACAGGAAGACTGTGCTAAAATAGCTAATGTCAGGACTGTTGCACTTACAGAACTTCTGCTAACATGCTTTCCTACTGACAGTCAGGCATTAATAACCTTTCCATAGCCTTGAATGAATAATACCACATGGAGATTGATAGTTCATACAGATGCCATAGGCATGTAAATCACTGGCCTTCATGCTGGAAGTCTAGGAGCAGGTTACATAAACACCTATAAGGAATGGCAGGAATATTCACAATTCTCTTTCACAGCAAATCTTTTCCATTTCTGTTTTTCTGAAGATTTGGTTTAAATCAGCTACTGGGCCTATTGAAAAATTGCCTTTCCTATGTCTCAACTTGCAAGGTGCATGAGACTTCAGTTCTCTGCATTGTAGAAAATATTCTATTTAGGATCAACAACAATGTTACATTAAACTACAAACTAGTTCTAAATATAGAATACCTAGTACTAAATATAAAACATTTGTTTACAGACTTCTGCAACACCAGTAGCAAGACAAGTCTCACAATGGCTGATTCTCTTCAGCTGTCTATCACACACTTATTTAAGCAAGAGCATTCACACTGTGTGAGACACATCACAAATGCACAGAGGTAAGTGGTAAAGATTCTGCAGGGGACCTCGCTCATGTCAAGTGCACACAGGACATATATCAGTATTCTTACCAAAACTTGCTTTTAAATTGTCTTAGACACTGGTGTGTGTCCTACAGTTTCTAAAGATAAGAACTAGCTAAAAAATCCTTCCTCATGTTCATTATTCCTGTGTATGAAACAATGCATAGAGAGTTACACATCTTACTATGCCCAAAAAATCTTAAAAGGGATGAAGAACCCATCAGAAAGGATACACAACAGGATCCCATATAATGCACCCTGCCCCTGATCTGAGATTTCAAAAATTGTACATTTTTTGTGATCCCTGGCTAATGATTTCAGTACTTGAACATAAAAATTCAGATAAACATAAAAACATAAAACTGCATTTTATTATTTCAGAGCTATAGTACTGAATTTCACCTGACTGTGCTCTCACTTATACCCTGATACATTCTGTATCTATCTAAATATATACATAAATATATGTATCCATTCCCAAATAAGTAGCTAACATATTTTGATTGAAATAAGAGAAATATACAGGAAGAACATTTTCCAAACAGAATTTGTAATTTTAAAAATCATCATGCAGTGTTAATTTAAAAATATTTATTTCCATCTTGATTCTGGAAATAGGACTGAATCCATTAGTATGTGGACTGGAAAGCGAATAAACAGTTTCATTAAGGAGACATGTTAGCTCCAACAATGTTTATTGGGGCAAGCCTGCACTCTGGCTGCATATGGTGTACCTTTAAATAGGGCCGTTAAAATACCAAATAAAATGTCAAAGTCTGTCAGGTCTGGAGCTTTTATAAATTGTTTAGACTGGGGATAATTTGGGTTTCGTACATCATGCCTTGCAGATCCGGCGGCACGGAGACAGGAGCGGGAAGGGGCCCGGGAGAAGCAGGGGCACGGGCGGGCTGGCAGCCGGGCACCGCCTGCCCATCGCCCCCGCCAGCCGCGCCGCCTCGCCGCCCCTCTCGCTGGGTGGTATCCCGAGATTGCGCACGTGACTCAACAACCACATTTAAAAAAATAAAAAATAAATAAAACTTGACTTGAAAGGGAGCGCCGCGGCCACTGGCCGGAGACGTGCACTAACTTCACCTCGGGCTGCAGCTCCCCAGCGCTGGCACTAGCCCGGGCCGCTGCCGCCCCTGCACTGCCACACCTTCGCGGACGCGCTCCCGGCTCTCGTCCCGCCGCCCTCCCCGGAGCCGAGCGCTGGAACACCGCCGTCCTGGAGCCCCCCGCGCTCCCGGCCCGCCCGGCGCTCCCACCCACGGCGCGGCCCGGACCTCACCTTCAGCTCCCGGGAGGCCACGCGGGCCGCCAGCTCGATGACACAGCCCACCGCCATGCGTGCCGCCCCGGCCGAGTGCAGCTCGTTCCAAACGGTGTCACTGTCCACCTGAGCAAACAGCCGGCCCCGGGAGGAAGGCGGCGGAGAGGGGAGAGGGAGAGGGAGAGGGAGAGCATGAGAGAAAACAAACCCGTGAGGGAGGGCTGGCAGCGTGACAGCCCGTGTACAATAACATCAGTCTTCCGTGCTGGCCAGCTGAAAGGCCTTCTGGACATGGCTTTGCTTATGGTTTTTCTCTGCACGGGCTTCTCCAATGGAAACACATTCCTGTCATGCCTCGCTGCCATTCCCTGTTTAGATTTCTCATTACAAACAGTGTTACATCGGCCGGGCCCGGCCTGCTCGCCAGACGCTCCTCAAGCTGGCGAGGTGACGGGGACATGCCAGCATCGGGACCATCGGGAATGGTCATCGGGAATGGCCATCTGGAATGTCCATCGGGAATGAAGAGCCGCTGCTGCCGCAGCAGAGGCACGGGCGGCCCGTGCCACCAAATGGCACATCGATGGCCCTTTTCTTAAACAGAGTAGTAACCCCTCGTTTCTCCTTCCCAGGGGGTTGTTCATAAGTGAGTGAAATTGGAACAGTTAATTGTTTTAAATAATTTCAGGAGTCACTCTTGCCATAGACAGAAAGTGGAATTACATAAAGCAAGACCCTTGCTGTATCTCTTGTTTTGAGGAACAATAAATTTTTGGCTGGAAGGCTTTATTTTGTAACAGAAGAACGATGGATTTTAAAGTGGAGAAAGTTATCTTTTGCACCTTCTAAATGAGAAAGTGTGATGTGTGATACATTACATTATAAAGAACATATTGTAAAGGTGTCTAAGTAGCAATGCTCTACAGTTTCAATCAGTGTGCTAAAACTTTACTTTTGAAATCTATTTTTAATAAGTATTTATTTACAGAAACATACCAAAACACAGAGGTGAAATGTTGTATATCCCTATACCTATTATGTATTATGTAAAACAGACAAGATGGTGTTAAATAGTCCGAAAAAGTTATCCAAAGAGACAGCCAGACTTCCTTGATGCTCCATGGGAAGTGCATTTAATTGTAGCATACCGTACAAATTTATCATGAAAAGAAAAACGTTTAGAAATAGACAAAATACTGTGGCAGATGCTATTTGGATGACTTCCAAGCACACTGAGACATGTTTTCAGTTTGAACCAGAAGCTTCTGTTCCTAATTCCATTAAAAAAAAAAAAAAAAAAAAAAAAAAAAAAAAAAAAGGAAAGGAAAGAAAGAAATCAAGTAATTGAAAATGGATGCAACTGCTACTTGACTCTGAAAGTTCAGAGGAATTTCTCTGATTAGTCATTTGAAACAGAAAGAAGCTTGATCTAAGCTTGATCTTCTCTACACCTGTCAAATGTCTTTGCCATTACTGTTACAATAATATTATATTTCAAGCTATTAAAATTATCTTAGTTTTTCAGTATTCTGGACCTGATTCTTCTATCATTTTGATCAGTTTTGTGTGCATGCAGCAGAACTAATGAAAATAGTTCGCATTTGCAGTAGACCTGAATAAGAAAACTGGATTTTGCTTGCAAAGTTTAGAATAACAGTAGAGACAGCACACTGTTTTCATCTGAGAAACTCAAATGTGTGCAAGCACAATTAAGCATCCTCAGCTTGATATGGGATGATTCATTGTTCTTGATTTGTGTATTGGTAGCTTGAGATTTAAAGAAATGAAAGTATGTTTTGGAAAGATGCATGCTGATCAATAGGTAACAAGAAACAAGAAAGAAACCAAGAAGTAAAAAAGCAATGATATAAGTAACATTAGGCAGACCTTTAAGTTAGCTCTCTGTTGCTTTAGAGGAACTGTGAATCAAATTTCACTTTTAAAGCTAATCAGGAGATAAATAAGTAGAGGTCATTGGTTAAATCAATTTAATCAAACCATAATAAAGTTTGAAAAATACTGTGCAGTATTTTAAAAAAGGAAGTATCAGCAAGAGAGCTGGGAGGGAGTACTTTCTTTCCATTTTTATAGCCAGCAAATTAAGCTTAACGTGAAGGAGTGGCTGATGAAAATGATTCAATGGCAGCTGCTCTGTACAGCAGGGCATGAGCAGGAGCAACCTGCCTCCTCAAAGGGACTATGATTCATTTCCAGGAAGGCTGATTAAGTTAAAATTGTAACCGCAGCTTGAGAGTACCCACCCTTAAGACAGTTGTCTGCTCTGACACATGAGACTGCAGTCTCTCCCTCCGCTGAATGCTGAGCATTGGCCAAGGTACAGCATATATCATTTTCTGCTTTCAGCTGAGTGTGAGGAGACTGAACTGGGACAGTAAGACCAAGTATCTCCCACTGAAAAATTTCCCTCAGACCTCTTGAATGACTGCTACCTTAATTTACCTGGACTGGTAGAAAAAAATGGGCAATCAGGAAACAGAACAGTGTTTCCTGAGAAATTTTTCAAAAATTACCACCTAAATGAACACAGGAAATTCAGGATATTTTAGCTAATCTCTTGGGCATCGTACCTGTAATGAGTGGTAAAGTCTTAAAGCTATGAGTAGCCAACTGAAGCCTCATACTTTCATGTACTGTTACTATAATACAAGAAAAGCAACATAAATACATGAAGATTTACCTTGAAAAGGCACAGTTTTACAAGTGTAGGTGTAAATACTATTTAATATTCTTGCAAAATTAAGATTGAATTTCTGAGGAACATCTCATGAAGAACAGCCTAGAAGAACTAGCGTCACACAGCCAATGCTTTACCTGTAACAACTAGAAAATTCCATCTCACTCCATTTTATATCTCTATTAATTTCATGTATTCCCTTAAATGTTTCAGGTGTTTAAACAGAGATTTTCTTTTAGTGTTACTCAGTGTTTACTTTGTAAATTGCTGTTGAAATACAGTGGTAAAAATGGCAAACCCATTAAAATTACAGCTACTGGCTGGCCCAGTTGTCAGACTGTATAGGAAATGAAGCTCTAAAATCCTACTGATATGCTTTTCTATATTCCTGTGAGATGAAATGGTTGGGTTTTGTACAAGTAAAGGGAATAGGATTAGACACTGTGGTTTCTGGTTCTAGTGCATGTATATATCACATATATCTGACAGCCCATCTATATGCTGACTATGCTTGAATTTGTGACAAATGTGATGCTTTCTGAATCACAGACTATGACGAAGTCAGATGGAATTTTATAAGAGGTTATTTTTGTTCAAGTGCTTTGGAGCAGCCAAAGAATTCAGTGAAAAACCTGTCTGGATTAGGATCATTTTTCAGACAATGTTAAACAAAATTTACAGAAAATACAGCATGTTTAGCTGAATTCTAACCCAGAATCTTAGCCTTTTTTTTCTGTTTAATTATGTTTAATATTTAATTTTTTTTTTTTTATTTAGGAGTACTTTAAAAATTGTCAGGATAGGAGAACATTCTGAATTGAACCAAATGAAAAAAAAATTTTTTTAAAGCATCAAAAGGTCAGTGTTGAACTATGAACATACTGCACATTTTGTTACCAAAAATCCTATCACTGCTACAGTTCTTCAAAGCAGAATTGTGCATGATAGCGCCAAGAGCCAGAGGACACGAGCCCTATCTGAACACTGACTTCCTAACACACATATGGATTTACTTCACTCCCAGTTTCCTGAATGAGCACTGTAGGTTGCAGGCTTTTTCAAGCACATCTAGTGTAGCTCAATCATTGGCATGTGTAGCAAAGCTAATACTCTGCAAAGCTACAGATGATAGAAATTAAGCTACCTGTCCCTGAAGTGGATGTGGAGGCATTAAAGAGGAAGGGAATGACTTAAGTGAAAAGAAATGTAGGTAACTTCTCCTGACTGAATGAATTGATATTTCAAGCCCCGTGTCTAGAAATTCTCTGCTTTGCACTGAAGAAAAAAAACTTGATATGAATGCTTCCTGTAAGAAATATCTATGTGATAATGCCACTTCAGCAATGAAGACTTTTAAGCATACTCAAAGCAAGCTAAGAAAGAAGCCTTACAGCAGAGATACTTCAACACATAGAAAGCTTGTACTATAACCCCTTTTGAGCTGGAAAATTTAATTTTAAGGAAGACTGGCTGTAAAGTTTGAAAATTACCAGCTCCTTATGCTGTGCTCAGGTTGTGGCATATGTGAAAATGGTGAGGAAAGATACAGCAATATACCTGAGGGAGAGGTTCCTTACTTCAATATCTTTCTGAAATCACTACAGTTGACAAAACTGGAAATGTTCCTCATCCTGCTATTTAAATTTATCTGCAACCTACCTCATGGGGGCAAAAAAGGAGTGTGATTAATAATGCTAAAGCATTTCTAAGATAATAACTGCGTTTTATTTTACCTGTCATTCCTGGCTACAACACCTCTTTACTCCTCATCTTCTATTTCAGTTCTCTCTTTTCCAGAAATCTCCTGGGATCTGCCAGGTGGTCATTGTATCACAGAGATACCAGAAATGCTGCTCGCAATCTGACGAACATTGCATTGTTTTACACCCTGCATGATGTATTCATCTGTGCAAGTTATCTTTCCTAAATTATTGTGAACTCTGAAATTGCCTTGAATACATCCCCATTGATGACTATATGACGATATAAAAGAGAGCCTAAGCTGCTGCTTTGGGATGAATTCAAAGCATCCTAGAATTTTTCTCTCTCCACTCCTCCTCCCACCCACAAACACACAACTTGGGATTTAATGTAAATTCATTTTCTGGAGTGGAATTCTGATTTTACTCCTGAGAGGAATTAAAAGTACACTGCTCTGGATTCTCTGCACAGTTTTTGCCATCATTAAAATCAAAATCAGTCCTCTTAAAGATACCACACATCCCCACAAGAGATACTAATTTTCTGACAACAGGCTAAAAATGCAATTTGTCATCTAGTTGTTCATGGAAACTTTGACCTGTGATGCTCCTTGGATAGCAGTCGTATTCTATGTGTACAATATTCTGGACAACAAGAAGTTCTTTGCAGTAGTTTGAAAGGATTCTTTGCCCTTTCTTTAAAGAGTAGAGATTGGGCTAAACTGTTCTTG